AAAAATTGAAAAAGGGAAAGAAAAAGCCAATATACTTTCAATTTTCCGGCTTGGCTATTCATCACATGACTAGTCCATTGGGTAACATATATTGTTTAGCCTTGTTTTATCTTTATGACCCAAAACGTGAAAATCTCAGGATACAGAGTACAAGAATACAAGAATCTTTGAAAAGGGGAAGGCATTGTGTTTTGAGCAAAATTGCTAGGGCTTTTTAGGAGGTAATAATCAATTAGTAATCTATGATTAAAGATCGATTAAATATAATGTTATGGTATTAATTATTTATTTGGTGTTGTCCTCCACTTTGCAGAATGAAATAGATATTATTCTTTTGTTCTTTTCTAATCTGTGGTCCCTAATTTTTGTAGGTCCAAGATCAAAGTCGTCATCAAACCAAATGAAAAAATTGCAACCAGATTTCAACTCACATGGATCATTACACAACAGTCCACAGGTATGGCCAGCTTCCTCACCATCCTTCTATAAGAATAAAAAACAATAAAAACAATAATAAAATAATTAAAAAAGACCTAACCAAAAACAATCTTAACCGAAAATAAACAAAAATAAAAAACCAGATTCCTCATCAAAGCAGAGCATAGCAAACTAGTCAAAGACCACAACAAAAATAACCAAACCAAAGGGAAGATATCTAAGCAGAGCAATATAGAGAAGGATTAACATTAATATATAAACAAATTGCTCAAAGGCCCACATTTTCACAATCAAAAACACCAAAACAAGCTTTACCAAAAATTTTGGAGATCCCCAAAACCTACGTCCATAGTTCAATCGAGTCATAGCAGTTCTTTTAACTAGTCGAAGACCACATTTGCAGAGACCCACAAACTCACCATAATGAGGAGATGAAGATGGAGAACCAAATTGAAAGGATGGTTGATGGGAATTGCTTGAATACATGCTAGGTTTGGTGATTGGGTGAATAAAAACAAAGAAGATGATAGGACCAGAAATTAGAAATAGGAATTAGAGAAGAATAATTGAACCAGAGGGGAGAATTAAGGGAAAAAGAAGAAGAACCAGGGAGGGAGAGAGGGCCTATTTTGACTGTATCAAAAAATCAAATGATTGAAGAGAAAGAAGAATTTTGAGCAACTAGAGCAACTAGAGTTCCTGGTGCAAGCGAATGGAGGAAACAGGGGAAAATGTCAAGGGAGAGAAGAGAGATAGAAAAAGATGGTTGCCAAATTTAAAAGAAGAAAACGTGGTTTTATCAAGGCAAAGTGGTCCCTATTCCTGCACAAGTGGCATCACATGTGGCAATATGTGTGGAAAAAAAAAATAGAGCATATGGGTTTAACTGTTAACCATTTACGACTTAACGATCAACAATGACGGCAACATGAACGACATCAGGGAAGGGACAACAACGAACAATAAAAGAGAAGTAGAGGGACAACGTTTGGCTCTTTGGTAGAGTAGAGGGATGACAACGAACATATCCTTAGTAGAGGGACAAGAACGAATAAAATATGAAAGTAGAGGGATGACAATTGGCTTTAAACCGTGAAAGATTCGTTCTTTTAAAAATAATTAAGCTGAATAAACTAGGACGACGAAGACAAAGACAAAGAAAAAGAATGAAAAGGGCCATTATTTTTGGTGAAGAGTCACAAACTCGAAAACAGTAGTTATGTGCAGGGTGCTTTGCAGCTCTTCATTGTAGCGAAGCTTCACTTAATTAGTGTTTTATATATTTTAAATTAAAAACATATTTTATAATTTATATTGTTTTAAATTATAAAACATTAATGATTTAATGAAAGAGGATCTTATTATTTTAGAAAACAGCCTATATT